AATAAAATAAAAAGAGAAAAGAAAAAAAAAAAAAAGAAAGTGGTTTGTCTCCTCTGAAACTTACATTGAAATATAATCCCCACTGAGGCATATAGCTCAGCTGTATAGCTTACCTAACATACAAGATTCAGTGTTCCATTTGTAGCACCACAAAAAAAAAAGAGAAAGAAATTTAATTCCCATTATGAGAAACTAAGAGGTGTGACCAGGTGGGACTTTTAACAGCTGATTAGGACTCTGTCCTCATGAATGGATTAATGAATTAATAGGTTAATATGTTATCTCAAAAGTGAGTGAGCCATAAAACCCAGTTTGGCTAGGTCTCTCCCACACTTCCTGTCTCTCAAAGCCTGAGGATCATGGTAGAAAGACTGTCCTCACCAGTTGTCAGCCCCTCAACTTTGAACCAGAACAGTGAACTAAAGTAAAACTCTTTCTTCTTTCTTTGGTTAAGACTGGGGTTTGGACTCAGGGCTTTGCACTTGCAAAGGAGGCACTCTTTTGACTGAGTCCATTTTTTCTCTGGTTATTTTGGAGCTAGGTGTCTCTCGAACTATTTACCTGGGCTGGCCTTAAACTGTGAACCTCCTTAACTCAGCCTCCTGAGTAGTTAGGATTTATAGGCATAAGTCACTGGCACCTGGCCAAAATAAAATTCTAAAAAGCTGGACATAGGCCAGCTGGTAGCTCACACCTGTAATCCTATCTACTCAGGAGGCAGATATCAGAAGGATCGTGGTTCTCAGCCACTCTGTGCAAATAGTTCCCAAGACCCTATCTTGAAAGCACCCAACACTAAAAAGGAGTGACTCAAGTGGTAGAGCAACTGCCTTGCAAGCATGAGGCCCTAAGTCAAATCCTAATACTGCCAATAAAAAAAAAAAATTGGACATGGTGCTAGCAGCATAGCTCAAGTGGTAGAGTGCTTACCTGGGAAGCCCTGAGTTCGACAAAAAAACAAACAAAAACCCAAAAAACCAAAAGCATTAATTGGGCTGGCAGAGAGGCTCAAGTGGTAGAACACCTGCCTAGCTTTGTGTGAGGCCCTGAGTTCGAACCCCAGTACCCCCACCCTGCTAAAAAAAAAAAAAAGAAAGTTGGTCATGGTGGCTCACATCTATAATCCCAGCACAAGAAAGGCTGAGGCAGGAGGACCAAAAATTCAAGGCAATCCTGGGATACATAGATACATAGCAAGACCCTGTCTCAAACACACTTACACACACACATGCACACAATTCCTGTTTTTGGTTCGTAAGGAAGTTATAGAGTACATTTTGGGGTAGCAATGTTAGATAATGGAAAGATAGGATTTATAGGCAGTATAAAAATCTGTGTCCAGATCTTATCTCCATAAGCAAGTAACAATCTCTCTCAATCTCAGTTTGCATAGAATTGGGGCCAAGATAACCTTGCTGGCATCCTCACTTTGACCTTGTCTGCTTTAAACCTGCTGAAGGTGAAATAAGAGATGTTTAGCCAGCACTAAGCCTGTAATTTGTAGAGGAACTGATGCCTGTTGTTCCAGGGAAAGGCTGCAGCTCTGAGTTACCATGCTGGTACACAAAGCTGCTAAGCAGGTCCAGGTATGCATATGCATAAATGAGACTTAAGCACTGCTCAATTGTTAATTGATATCTTCTGAAACAGCTGTACAACTGCAAAATGTTATTAGATTTCGATCAGTGTTCTCCTTTATTCCTTTATTCAGGAAACAAGGAACCTACATCCAAATGGAGAATGGAGACTGTGGTTTGTGCAACACTCTGTTTAAATCTGGGGAAGTCAGTACCAGCCAGTGAGAAAGCCCCTAGGCTGTGAATCAGCACCAACAGCTGTCTGGACTTACCTATCCATGGGGAAATGCTTCGCTCAGAAGAGACACTGTGAGAACGTCATTCTCTCTCGTGGCTATGCAGTGTGTCTGAGGTAATTTCATTATGGTAATAACATTATTTCTGGCTTTGGGGCTGGGGTGTAGCTCAGTGATAAGAGTGCTAACATGCAAGATTTTGGGTTCCATCTCCTGCAATGGAAAACAAACAAACAAAAACTTCCAGAAAACATTCAGGCTCATGTTCAAGAAATAGTCCAAAGATTTATATATATTTGGGGGAGGCGGGTAGGACTGGGATTTGAACTTAGAGGCTTTGAGCTTGCCTCTGGTTATTTTGGAGATGGAGTATTGGGAACTATTTGCCTGGGTTGGCCTTGAACTGTGATCCTCCCAATCTCAGCCTGTCAAGTAGCTAGCATTTCAGCTGGGAGCCACCAGCACCCAACTAAAAATCTTTATTTATTTATTTATTTATTTATTTTATTTCTTGAAGCCTTTGGTTATCTGGGCATTCATACAGTGATGTAAAGAAAGAAGCAGTGTTCATCTTTTTTCCTCTGCTCCATCAACCTCCAGCTGGAAACCTACAATTCTAAAATCACTGATGAATGTAGGGAGGGAAAAAACGAAGAAATACAGTTCTTGAAACCAGTTGATTATAGTTTAACTTGAAATAATGATTTACAATTTGAATGTTATATATTAAAACAAAATAAGTGAGTGGGAATACAGCTCAGTGGTAGAGATGTGCTTGGCATGTCCAAGGTTCTGGGTTCAACCTCTAGCAACCAAAAAATAGATGAATATAAAATAGCATTTACAAAGTGTGGGAAGTTATTTAAAATAAAAAATCAGGGGCTAGAGGCATGGCTCCAGTAGTAGAGCAGCTGCCTAGCAAGCAAGAGGCCCTAAGTTCAAACCCCAGTACTGCCAAATAAATAATTAAGTTAAAACAAATAAACAGAATAAATGATCAGAGCCAATAAGCAGAATATATATGTATACAAGTGTATATAAATGTATACACATATATATGTATATATATACATAGAGAGAGAGACATTGATATATTGGCAATGTTGGGGAGCAAACCCAAGGCTGGGCAAGTGCTCTACCACTGAGCTACATACCCAGCTCCATTAAACAGAATTTTAATGCAATCTAAAATCACTATATCATGAGTTTCTAGATCTGTGATGAGAGGGTGACCAAGGTTCATTAGGGAACTCAGTAATTCTGCTGTTTCCACCAAGACCACCACTTGTGTAGACAATAAGAGTTCAAATCAAATGTCATTTTTATTAAGATGCCACAACAGCTGTTATCTGAAAGGGGGTTGCAAAATACAAAATCTTGCTAATAAGGACATTTTTTTTTATATATCGAGAGTACAGATATAATGTCAATGACCCTGGATCTGATTTCATTCTGGTCAAAAAAAAAAAAAGACTGTCTAGTGTTGGACATCACAGATAATTTCCAAATCAGGAACAAATTTCACCTAAAGAGATAACATGCACATATAAATGTTTTACTAAAATCATTAGTGAAGTGCTCCGCAATATAATTCCAACGCTCAGGAGGTGGAGGCAGAAGGATCTCTAGTTTTAGGCCAATCTGGGCTACGTGCTAAGTTGATCCCCAACACAAGTAAATAAATTTTTAAAAATAAATAAACTCACTGAGGGAACTAATAAAGAATACAAAAAGTTCTATGAATGTTTTACTGAAAGAAATATATTCACCAGTAAATGAAAACAATTACTAGGTTAGATAGTAAATTAATTAATATTCCACAGGGAAAAAAAAAAACCAAAACCCCATAATAAATTTGGGGTAAATGTCTCTTCGGGGCCATTATCGATTTCTGCAGGTTAATGTTATAGAGCTGTAAGCACTGTGCTTTTATCAGTAGTGGGTCGTCAGTCAAACATATTGTGCCAAAAGTTATGATTTCTGAGAGTCTCAGATGAAGGTCAAGTATGCTTATTGCAAAAACTAGCTTTTTTTTTTTTTTTTTGGTGATACTGGGATTGAACTCAGGGTCTCACACTTGCTAGGTAGGTGCTCTACAACTTGAGCCACTCCGCTAGCTCCACAACCAGCATTTTTTAGAAAATAGAATAGAATATCAAAGTATATCTAATCTGAAAGCAGCCAGGACTGTGTGGCCAAGCATCAAGTATCAATCGTGTGCATGAGCCTGCATCTCTGCATTTGTGTGTTAGGTATAAGATATAGTTCTAAGTATGGATAAAGGTAAAAAATTTGAAAAACAGAGCTGGCAGAGTGGCTCAAGTAGAGCACCTGCCTAGCAAGTGCAAGGGCCTGAGTTCAAACCCCAGTACTATGGGGGAAAAAAATGAAAACACTGATTTAGACTATTTAAGACTTCTCTAGCCATGTGTGGGGTTCAACACCTGTGGCTACTGGGGAAGCTAAGGCAAGAGGATTGCAAGTTTGATGCCAGTGGGGAAACTTAATAAAACTCTGTCTCAAAATAAAAATAAAAGAGGGCTGAAATTGTGGTTCAGCGGTAGAGTGCCTACCTTGCATGCATAAGACACTGGGTACACAGTATGGCAAAAACGAAAACAAAACAAAATTGATGGGAAGACTCACTCCTGGGGCTACAGAGAGACTCATGAAAAACGCAACTGTTTGTATATGACGATTAAAATCAGGGTTTTGTCCCTGAGGGAGCTGGAAAGTTGTGGTTGATCAGACAATCAGCAGAATGGTTAAGCTAGTGACAAAATGGTACTTGATCCTGTTGTTACTCTCAAAACCTATGAGCTAAGATAAGGTCATATAGTCTTGGCTGCTTTGTGACTTTAAATGACCTAACACCTGTCTAAGTGCTTCAAATTTAGGATTATCTAAATATCTTAAAAGTCATCCTTTATTTCCCTTTGTGACACTAGTTGTCTCCCAAATATCTATTCTCCTTAACTGAAATAACAATTGAAATTTTACCTAGCCGACGGTCGCCATGTTGTTCCCTCCGCCCCGGACAGGAGCAGCTGGAGCAGGAGCTGGGTGGCGCCGCGCTCCTTCCTCCCGCTCCCCGCCCCGCCGCCCCCCGCCCTCTTTCTGCCCTCATTGCGGCCAAGCGAGCGGCCAGCAGTTCCCGGGGGCGTCTTCCCTGCGGCTGCGAGAAACATCCCACGTTCCTCTAATGAGCCTGGCACTGTGATGAAACACTTGTGTCCGATCATCTGAGTGAATCTTCCCAGCAACCTTAGGAGGTAATAATGTTTGAACGGAACTATTAAGGGTTCTGAAGTGAAAACTCGTAAGATTAATAATGGCAGGAAAATTGTCACTTTTTAAAGTAATTCTCCTTGGAGATGGTGGCGTTGGGAACAGTTCTCTTATGAATAGATATGTAACTAATAAGTTTGATGCCCAGCTCTTCCATACAATAGGTGTAGAATTTTTAAATAAAGATTTGGAGGTGGATGGACATTTTGTTACCATGCAGATTTGGGATACAGCGGTCAAGAGCGGTTCCGAAGCCTGAGGACACCATTTTACAGAGGTTCTGACTGTTGCCTGCTTACTTTTAGTGTTGATGATTCACAGAGCTTCCAGAACTTGAGCAATTGGAAGAAAGAATTCATGTATTATGCAGATGTAAAAGAGCCCGAAAACTTTCCTTTTGTGATTTTGGGCAACAGGATCGATATAAGTGAACGACAGGTGTCTACAGAACAGGCACAAGCCTGGTGCAGAGATAACAGCGACTATCCTTATTTTGAAACAAGTGCAAAAGATTCCACCAATGTTGCAGCAGCCTTTGAGGAGGCAGTTCGAAGAGTTCTGGCTACTGAGGCTAGGTCAGATCACCTGATTCAGACAGACACAGTCAATCTTCACCGAAAGCCTAAACCAAGTTCATCTTGCTGTTGATCATTAGATTTTCCATACGTTTGAACCAACTCACACATATACACACAGTAAATATGACGAGGGTGGATAAGCAAATTAGCATTTGCTGCAGTGTTCATCTACTAATAAAATTAAACTAACGTATATTGCTACTTCATTAGTTGGCGGGAGAAGGCACATATCCACTCTGGAGGAATCTATTTACCCAGTAATGGCAACTTACATTTATAAATTGTAACGGTTGTCTACTAATGTTTAATTTTAAATTTGTAAGTTAGAGCTAATAAGTAAAATGACCAGGAATTTAATTGTAATTCAAACAAAAAACTTGACTGTTGTAGAAGTTATACTTGGATTGTTTTTTCCCTGGGAAAATGGAGAACTACGTTTATATGTGCATATTTTTATGCAATTAGCATTCTAGTCTTGGTTCATGGGAAAATTCCTAAAGCAATAATGTTAAATATTAAAGGTTAAAATCTAATGCAAAAAAAAAAAAAGAAAAGAAATGTTACCTAGACACATGACCAATCATGTAGTTAAAGACTACATTTCTCAGCTTCTCTGGGGCAAGGCTTGATCATGTGACTATGTACCAACCAATGCAATGCATATATAAGAGATGCGTGCAGACTTAGGGTCAGGTCCTTAAATGGCAGGAGTATTCCTTCTTTTTCTCTCCCTGTTCTGCTGCCTGAATAAGGACTCATCTGAGATCCACATGGATAAAGGACAGTGGGGCAACACTGTAGGAGGCACCTGGGTTTCTGCATGTTATACTAGACCTGGATTGTTACACAAGCATGAAATTGAACTGTGATCATGCTACTGTTAATCTGAATCGGTTACGGCAACTTAACCCATGTTCTACCTGGCATTAGCTTTTTCTACCCTGTTAGTTCAAAATGGTGGAAGTCTGAGGACTAAGACACATAGGCACTTGGCATATCTGATTTTAATGTGCATGGACTTTATTTTACTTTTTTTTGTGGTACTAGGTGTTGCTATCAGGGCTTCACACTTGGTAGGCAGGCACTTTATCACTTTCATCAAGTCACCAGCCCTAGTGCATGGACTTTAAACTAATTCCACAGTAAATGTTTGCCTTTGTGTCTGGGCTCTAAAACTCAGCAGACTGAGGATTGGATAGAAGGTCAGAAAAAAATAATTCTTGCCAGTGATATGTGCTAATTAAATTAAACCATATAAAAAATTTTCTGAAGGTGATGGAAATCAACCAGGGATTTGTGCATGCTAGGCAAGCACTCAGCCACTGAGCTATATCCTCAGCCCAAGTATGTTTGTTTTGTGAGACAGGGTCTCCCATATGAAGCTCTGAACCTCCCAAGTGCTGGGATCCTAAATGTGCACCACCACACCTGTCTTGTTTTTGTAAGTATAAAAATGGTTAAATATTAGCAATTTGTGTTTCAATTTAACAGAACTGATACTAGATTTCACAGATGGTGAACTCTTGGAATTTATAGATGGTGAGATGTTTAGTAATTGTACTTTCTAAAGGGCCTATGGTCAAAGCTGAATTCCTACGGCAGAGGGCTCCTTAGTTGCACACTTGGATAAAGAGTGTTCAATATGTCATTAGCTATATATATCTAATTATATATGTATATCTATATGTATAGCTAATTAGCTATGTGTATATATAAATATAACAATTAGCTATCTATCTATGTATCATGTATCTATCTATCTGTATAATGACCAAACCCAGGGCCTTGAGCATACTAAGTAAGCACTCCACCACTGAGCTATATCCCTAGCCTTTGTTTTGTTTTTGTTTTGTTGTACAGGGGCTTGAACTCAGGGCCTTCACTTTGAGTCACTCCACCAGCCCTTTTTTATGAAGTTTTTTTTTTTTTTTTTGAGATAGGGTCTTACGGAACTATTTGCCTGGGGTTGGCTTCAAACCGCAATCCTCCTGATCTCTGCCTCCTGAGTAGCTAGAATTATAGGCGTGAGCCACAGGCACCTGGCAACCTGTTTTTTTTTTTTGGGACAGTATGCAGCTGGCCTTCAACTTGCTATGTAGCCCAAGCTAACCTTGAACTTATGATCCTCCTGCCTCTGCCTCCCAAGTGCTGAAATTACAGGGGTGTGCCACCATGTACAACTGATTTATGACTAATTAAAACAGGCAACAGTGAAACCAATGAAGTAATGGAGGTTAGCTATTGTTTTGGGTGTGGGGGGAGGGTTGTAGACTTTGGAAGGAGACAAAGAATCAGACAATATGACTTAAACTGAAAGGTCTGAGTTACAAGATCAATCAGACCTCAGTGTGTCCCAGAGTACTGCAGGTCAGTCTCTTTTCCTGTCCCTTGGTCAGTATGACAACATGGCAGATGGCTATCCCTTAGCTTGTATGTTATAGACCCAACTGTATTATTAATGCTGATTTTCTTGCCCTTGATTCTAAATTCCCATGAAAGAACTGATTGGTCAAATGTAGCAGATGCTCCTTGTACCCTGTGCAACATCTGCTGGGCCCATCTCTGACTTCACTTGTGGCTGCAGTGGACAGTTTCTGTGAGCCCAGACTCCATATTTGTTTGAGGCTTTTCTTAAAGCCTATGTAGCTCAATCATTGTGCATACAGGTGTGTCAGACACATGGGAGAACACAGTGCAGGGTTGGCAGATGACCCAAGTCAGGGTACAGTCAGAGCTGAGATTGGATATTCAATCTAAGGACCCAGGAAAGATGGTTTTAATTACCACTATAAGGATGTAAGCAGCAGACACAAAGAGAAACAGAGCCAAAAGTTGGAGACCAAGGGAAAGACTGACAGGCGGAGGCTGGCTCTTTGTTTCCAGTTGTAGTTTCGCTTACTTGTCTGTTCTGGAGGACATTGTTCAACACTAAGCTTATTTCATCTGTTTATTTGTCCCCATGTCTAGACCGATGAGACGACAGTGACCAACCCCCAAGTAGGAGAGTCTAGAGGCATGTGAGAAGCAAGATATGTTCAGGCTGAGACTTTCGTATTTTACCTTAGGGGCTCCTAAGGTAAAACAGGACACCAATTTAATGACTCTTGTGCTTTATTCAAACAACATTCTGGAAAAACTCCGAATACCCTAGGCTAGCTTTTCCAAGTGTGGTATATGAGCAGTCTGTGTTAGAATTCCTTTAGGTACTTCCTACCAATACAGAAGTTGCAGGGCCAACGAATGTAGCTCTGTAGGTGGTTCGGTTTCCACTGAAGTCTGAGACCACTCTGTTCAAGGCACTGTTAGAAGCTGGGACCCAACACAAGCAGACAGACATGGTCCTTGAGTCCCCAGTATTTGTGTGTGTCGGGGACTGGGGAACAGCTGATTTCAATAAGGTGATGTGGGTCCTAGAATAAGGGAGATAACACAGCAGGTGCGCCTAACTCAGATCGAAGAGTCAGGGAAGTGTGACGAGAAGAACCTCAAGGCTGAAACCTGGAGAAGGGATCTGCAGCTCTACGAGGAGTCTGCACTGCAGAGAAATACGGGAGTTGTCAGCCTGTGGAGAGTAGGCGCAGCCTTGGCCGTGCGAAACGGCCAGAGGGAGGAGGTAGTGCAGTGAGAAGCCGGCCAAAGCCTGAATTGCGAAAGACTCCAAACCGGCCGGCCCTTGTCCCCAACGTATCATCTGTCCTCGTCGCCGCCGGTTGTTTCGCTTATCCCTGAGGCCTCAGAAAGACCGTTCGCGGAGCTACGCTGCCCCCAGAATAGTGTAAGCCGCACATGGCCACCTAACTCCCCGCCCAGGGTGGGGCTCGGCGCTGTCCGGACACTCCCCACGCGGCGGGAAGACTGCGCCGGATGCGCCCGCTTTGCGTGATGACGTCAGCACGCCCGCTCCGGCCGAGGGAGGAGCGGGAGCCGTGGGCCCGCGCTGAGACTGGGGTAACTCAAGCTGGGCGGGAGAGAGGGAGGGGCGGGGCGCGAAGCCCACCCAGAGTTCGGCGTCACTGTCGGGAACCGGAGAGGGAGCCTTCGGCAAGCTCGGCACTCGCTTCTTCCCCTTATCAGGACCTGCACGGACGGGCGATGGAGTTTCCGGACCTCGGGGCTCACTGTTCGGAGCCGAGCTGTCAGCGCTTGGGTGAGGGGCGGAGCGCGCGGGGGGCGGGGCTGTGCGGAGAGGGCTGTGGGACTGCAGGTAGGGCAAGGAGGGTGGGATCCAGGGCTGGAAATGCCAGAGAAGGGCGGGGCTCAAAGTTGGGGGCGGTGGGTGGGGGCGTGGCCAAGGAAATAGGGAACTACGGGAAGGGTGCAGTGTGTTGCAAATAGGGTGGCGTTTTCCTACCCGCGTGGCAGCTTTGAGTGAGAGGGAAGGCTACGCTGGTCTCTCTGGACCTGCAATCCGAGCCACTCCCTGCAGATTTTCTGCCGCTCAAGTGCGATGCCTGCTCGGGCATCTTCTGTGCAGACCATGTGACCTACGCCCAGCACCACTGTGGATCTGCTTACCAAAAGGTGAGGGGGCGATATTCGGGGGGAGGGGGTGGATGCATGCAAAATCCCCCGTATTGTCTGCCTCACATTTCCCACTCCAAATTGTCGTTCTGAGGCTCAGTACTGGGGAACACTGTGTTTTCTTGTGCATTTGTGTGGGATACATCCAAATTCTTTCAGGACTAGAGGTTTGTTGGGCTGGGAGTCAGCCACAGACTAACTCTGCCCCTTGACTATAGGATATCCAGGTACCGGTATGCCCCCTCTGTAATGTGCCTGTGCCTGTGGCCAGAGGGGAGCCCCCTGACCGGGCTGTGGGAGAGCACATTGACAGAGACTGTCGATCTGATCCAGCACAGCAAAAACGCAAGGTAAGTGACGGAGGGGTTAGTCACAACCCAGCTGCAACTACGGATGCCTGGAAGCCTAAACAGCTAGCTCCAGTGATGGGGCTGGAGAAGGGGTGAAGTCTCAGTAATACAAACTCCACTTCATTCAGATCTTCACCAATAAGTGTGAACGTTCTGGCTGCCGGCAGCGGGAGATGATGAGACTGACCTGTGACCGCTGTGGGCGGAACTTCTGCATCAAGCACCGTCACCCTCTGGACCATGATTGCTCTGCGGAAGGGCACCCAACCAGCCAGGCTGGGTAATGCCACCCAGTCCCCTACTTGCCTTGCTTCAGCCCTGTCTGCATTGGCTAGGGGAAGTCTATTAGCTTCCTTTTGAAGTATTTTTCCACATTGTTTGGATGAATCCCCCAGACTTCCTGGAAAGGCATGTTCTTGGAGGCATTCCAGGAGTGTCTTTCTTCCCTACAGACTTGCTGCAATCTCCAGAGCACAAGGTCCTGCTTCTACAAGCACTGTCCCCAGCCTAAGTTGGACCTGGCCTTCCTCTACCTCTCCCAACAGGTAGGCCTGCCCATTTTTCCTCTCTCTTTTTGCCTCTTCACATCTCTGACCTTAGCCTGTTGAATGTCTGTCATAGAGCCACAATCCAGTCTTCATCCCGGACAGCCCCTCCAGTGATTGCTTTGCAGAATGGCTTGGTGAGTTGGGCAGAGATTGGACAGAAGGAAAGCCAGGCAGAAAGTAAAGTCCAAGGAAACTGTTGGTTTTCTTTCTTCCTTTGCAGAGTGAAGACGAGGCTCTGCAGCGGGCCCTGGAACTATCCCTGGCAGAGACCAAACCCCAGGTCCCAAGGTACTTACTCTGGTGAAAGAGGGAGGATAGGATGTGGGTAAAGGCTCGGTTTGGAGGGAGGAAGGTGGGAGCAATCTGACCCATTGAAAAATAGCTAGGAACTTAAGCTCAAAATTAAGATGAACTATATGACCTCTGGCAAGTTCTTTAACCCATTACACCCTTAATTTCCTCTATACAATGGGGACAATACTAACACCCACACTGTGGGATTGCTGTGAAAGTTGAGGTCATACCCAGAGGTGCTTGGCACCGTGATGCCTAACAGATCAGATGCTCAATTTAGGTATTACTGCCATCCAGCTTAAGCTGTTCCTCTCTCACAGTTCTCAGGAAGAAGAAGACTTGGCTTTAGCACAAGCACTATCAGCCAGTGAGGCAGAATACCAACGGCAACAGGTATGAGGATGGTGGGTAGGGTGGGGTCCTGTGCTGGAAGAAAATAAGAAGTTGAGGAGAGTGGTTTCTTTCAAGTGGTGGAAAGGACTGGGATTGCATCCAGTGTGACTAGCCCATGCTGAGCTCTGAAATAAGTTCTGTCCTCTTTTGACTTTACACCCTGTCCCCTCTTCCCCCTCTCCTTGCTCCAGGCGCAGAGCCGCAGCTTGAAGCCATCTAACTGCAGCCTGTGCTAGGGTCCTGGGCTTGGGGAGGGAGGCTCAGCTGAGGACTGTGGCCCTCACACCTCCAGGGTACATAGGAAGAAGAGGTGCAGAGCAGCCTGGAGTGCAAAGACAAGCAAGAGTGAAGTGGAGGCCACCCCAGGGGGCATCAGGAGAAAGCTTGCCAAATTGAGCCTATGAAAGGCCCTGCTAGCTCTTCGGCTACAGGGAGAGTGGCTGAGAACCATTTCCTGGTTGGGCCCTGGTGGGTGCTGGCCAGGCGTCACTCCTGGCCCCCTTCATTATGTTACCCCCCTTACCCTGGGACTGCCACATGTAGCAGGCAGGGAGGGGCCTGGAAAGAATAAAGATCTTGGCAGTTAGCAAGACATCCGAGTAGTGTGTTTCTCCTCTCTAACCCCAAACAGAAAGTCTTATCAAGAATGTTTATGTGACTTAAGGGGAGAGGCCCCTTGCAGTGCTCCACATGACCCAGTCACAGCCATCCCTTGCACACTTCACTTTTATTTCTCCAAGAGTGCTTTTCTTAAAGGTTCCTTTCCCTCACAACACTAGCACCAAATCCCTAGACCAGATGAAATCCAGGGAAAAGGACATATTCCCCTGAGTTAGCCTTGGGGAGGGAAGAGGCCACAACTTTTGTCACTGTGTCATGGTGTCATCTAGCTTGGCGTCTTCAGAGACTTCTTCCTGTCCCTGCTGCTGCAGCTGCCACATGTTTGCATACACCCCACCTCGGGACAACAGAGCCTCATGCCTGGAGTGAGGAGGCAAGTGGAAGCCCCACCCATCAGTTTCATCTCAGACGTCTTACCACCAGCCCACAGAGAGGACAGAGAGGATGGGCAAGGGAGACCCCTTCCAGAAGCCCCTGCCCAGTTCATCCTGTGTGGCTCACCGTCCTCTCTCTATGATGCAGCCATCCTTGATGACAAGAATCTGGTCAGCATTGACCACAGTTGAGAGCCTGAGAAGTCAGACATCAGTTACCTACTACTTCACTAGAAATGGCCCACACTGCCAGCCCGAACCAGTTCTATAGTCCTCTACCTGTGTGCCACCACGATGGTGGTGCGGTTCGCACAGACTCTGGCCAGAGAAGCCTGGATAGCCCTCTCAGTAGATGTATCCAGTGCTGATGTTGCCTACAGAGAGGGTCTGGGTAAAATGCCCTCACCACCCAGAAAGCCCAGAGGGAGGAAGATGCAGGCTGCTAGCTGAGGCCTCAGGAATAGTTAGGACTTCAGAACTGTACAGGGTTTTGGGTGAAGTGTGGACTGCTGATACCTAAGCTAGGTAGGAAACTGCCCAGCAGAAGTGGCTTGGGTGCACTCATTGGAAGGAGGGAGAAGGGTCCCAGGTCCTCACCTCATCTAACAGAACGATGTCTGGAGCTTTGAGAATGGTGCGGGCGATGGCCACTCGCTGCTTCTCCCCACCACTCAGCTTCAGTCCTCGCTCGCCCACCTCTGTTTCATACCCTGTGGATACAGCCCACCTCCCTCAAGCCACACATAAAGCCACACTGGTTTCTGTGACCAGGTGGGCAATGGAGGGATGGAGCAGAGGTCAGAGAGTTAACAGGACTGTACCAGGCAGGAGAGGGGACTTCAGAGAAGCCTCACCTTCAGGGAAAGACATGATGGCATCATGGATGCCTGCAGCCTGAGCAGCAGCCTCCACCTCATTGTTCCTAGCTGTGACGCGGCCATAACGGATATTGTTAGCAATAGTATCATTGAAGAGGACAGTATCCTGGGGCACGACTCCAATGTGAGACCGAAGGGAGAGCTGGGTCACCTGGGGCCAAAAAGACCATATACCCTGTACAGTGAGATTCCACCAGGCCTGGGAGATAGGATGGGCTGCCAGGAAGCACACTGGTTAAGTAGCTCAGTGTAAGGAACCTGCCATACCACTGAAAATCCTAGCTGTGTGAGCAAATCACTCAACCTCTGTGAGTCTGTTCCCCATCCCCACCCCTAAAAAGAAAACATGCTCTCTGCCTGCTGCATGGACTGTTGTAGAAGAACTGTATCTCGACTGGTACCACACACATCACCCCCATGATTACTTTCCTAGTGAGATTGCCAGTCATGTGGCACTAAGAAGGGTCTGGCTTTTTGCAGGGGCAATACCTTCTACTTTCTCTGGATGCCTGGCGCTTACCATTCTCACACATACAGATCCCTAAGTTATGGTCTTCTCCCCTGAAGCCTTACCTGTGAAATATCCTGCCCATCTATTCGGATACAGCCAGAGCTAACATCATAGAAGCGAAACAGCAGGCGCAAAATTGTGCTCTTGCCTGCCCCAGATGGACCCACCTGTTACATTGGAAAAACGAAAATTCTCAGCCCCACTGATTTTTTTGGGGGATGAGGAGATTGAACCAGGGCCTCAAGCATCCTAGGCCAGTGCTCTACCACTTGAGTCACACACCCAGTCTTTTCACTTTTAGTTTGTTTTTCAGATAGGGTCTTATGCTAACTTTGCCAGGGCTGGCTGCAAACCGTGATCCTCCTTTCTCTGCCACCCTGGGATTACAGGTGTGTGCTGCCACATCCGACTGGTCAACTAACTTAAGTCTTCTCTCCAAGAGATCACTGACATTCACGCAGGCTGCCATGTTCCATCCTGTGGCCTGTCTTGACAGGGCTTTGACTCCCTAGTTTGGGTCATGAGTCAGTCTGGGCACTGAATAAGGGAAGCTCAAGGAGTGTGGCCCAAGTGGCTGGGTCTTCTTACCAGGGCCAGTGTCTGTCCAGGCATCACTGTGAAGGAAACGTCTTGCAGGGTCTCCCGCCTACAAGGAAGCATGGGTAAGGTTAGCGGGTCCCTCCCATCACCAGAGCTACTAATGGGCCCTACCCCCCAGCTCAGGCTCTCCCTTCTAGCAGTGGTGGGCTGCAAAGCTGGGGTTCAGAGTTGGGTGAGGGGCAGGACGAAAGCATGTAAATGGATAAGGGGAAAGGAAAGAAAGCAAAAGGGAAGGGCTCACCCTTCAGCATAGCTGAAATGCACATTTTCAAACTCAATCCGACCCTTTTGAAAGTGAAGGGGTCCTGCTCCAGGAAGGTCCTTCACCTGGGAGAGTGCAGCAAATACAGACTGCTGTTAGAGACCTGGAATTCTCCAGATACAAGGAACATCCCTTGCCCCAGGTCCCTCTCTCTTCACTCACTTCTGTTTCCTCTTTCAGCAGGTCAAACATATTCTCCATGTCAATGAAGTTTGTTTGGATCATCCTGCAATAAGAGTGATGGTTGGGGCTCCTCTGAGGAGTCAGGAAATAGCAATGCACCCCGGACAGGTGAAGGCCAGGGATTGGGTTACCTGTAGTAGGTGCCAAACCAGTTGAGAGGCATGTACAGTTGGATGATGTAAGTGCCAAAGAGCACAAAGTCCCCAACCTGTGGAGACCCAGGGAAGCAGATGCATCATGGGGGGTGGGGTCTGTGGGCTGCTCCTGCTGTCCCCATGTTCACTTCCCATTCAGGAGCCCAGTGGCTCAGATACGGGTTCCAGGCCCCTTATCCCTGACCCTTTTCAGTCTGCCTCACCTGTAGCTTCTGCTCACTGACAAAGTACGCACAAAGAAGGGAACCAGAGAGGAGCCCAAGTCCAATCACCAAGTTCTGGGTCTGATTCAGTAAAACCAGTGAAGCGCTTGACTTCCACTCCAAACCCTAAGGACAAGGACATAGGAAGAAGGAATGTCCCATACACACTGACCATCATCAAATCCCAACCTGGGCCCAGGCACTTTCAACCAAGACACCTCACACTAGCATCCTCACCTGGTATTTGATGATGGCTTCTTGATAGCGTTCCACTTCATAACTCTCGGCATTGTAGTACTTCACCTGATGGATTCAAACACAGCACATGGCTCTCAGATCATTCCCTCCAGATTCCTGATCCCTTCCACCCCAACTCCTCATTACCCAATGTTCCAGCCACACTCCTCCACATCTCCCTCCCTCCCACCACTGCCTCAGAGGCTTATGTTACCGTCTCAAAGTTTAGCAGAGAGTCCACTGCTCGCGCCCTGGTGGCATTCTCCTGTGTGTTCATAGCACGGCGAAACTTGGTTCTCCACTCTGTGACCACAATGGTCAGGACTGAAGGGTGACAAAAGGGAGGGAGAATAAGACATCATCCCCCAACGGCAGAGACCAAGTGTGGCTATCTGCTATTTGCCACAGACACTAAACCTGTGCTAGGTCCAAGAACCCTAACTTCAGAGGGATAGTCTTAAGCTTGGTAAGGGAAGGAGGTGTGGGGCAAGAAGACATCTTTGGTACGCGCATTTGAATAAATAAATAAAAAAAAAGAAAAGACATCTTTGCAGCTTGCACAAAGCCTCCTATGTGGATAACTTTTGGTGAACAAATGAAGGCAACCTACATCTTGCTATGGTAATGAGATTTCTCCTTGACCTGTGACCATAGTAGGGATCCAATGTGACAAAGATGACCTTCCCCAGCCTCTATCCAGGTTGAGCTAAGGCTCAACTTGACAGACAGGGAGACCTGCCCATCACACCCGGAGCAGCCAGAGCCTTATCAAGTCCACTGATTCTCAGCCTCCTGAAGGGGGTTCAGCTGAGTGTGGGGGAAGGGGCAGGGTTCATGTCCAAGACAGCCCCTGCATATTTTAGCTTCACCAGGCAGTACTCACTGAGGTAGAGACTCATGCACAGGAACACAATGAGGCCAAACCAGGCATTGAAGAACATGCTGAAGTAGATGATGCCAATGATGATGTCGGCCAGTGTGGGGATGACATTGAAAACCAAGTAACTAGAGGGGCAAATCAGGCAACAGAGGAAGGTTTGGGGGCTTAGACCCAGCACCCCTACCTTTAGGAGTTTCAGTGTAGTGTTTCTTTTTTGTGTATGTGTGGTACTGGGGTTTGAACTCAGGGCCTTGCGCTTGCTAGGCAGTCCCTCTACCACTTGAGCCATATCACCAGCCCTGTTTTGTGTTGGGTTTTTTTGAGATAGGGTCTCTCAAACTATTTGCCTAGGGCTGGCTTCAACCTGTGTCCTCCTGATTTCTGCCTCCTGAGTAGCTAGGATTACAGACATGAGCCACTGGCTCAGTGTAGTATTTCATTTTCAACAGAAACAGACTAGAATCAACCTAAATGGTTCTCAAGAAGTATATGACTAAATAAAATACAGCATGCCCAAACTACAAAATTCTCTGTATCAATTATTATAAGTGAGAGACCTTCATTCATGGATTAAAATGTATCCCCCTAAGATGTTTATTAAAACAACTCTGAGGAAGACATTTATGGTAATATCATTTGGATTAGAAAAACTTCAAGAGTACCACATTAGTACTGTGAATACAAACAGGCAAAACTCAACATACTAAACACAGTGCAAAGCGCTTTGGGGGAGTGGAGTTCAAAAGAGATTTGTTTTCTGCATTTTACCTGAGTTATTATGGGCAGCATTACACATTACTCCTATGATTTACAAAAAGCCAAAAACAAACACAAACTAAACAAGGCCAGAGGGGCAGTGACTCAGGCTGGGTCTATTCTTCTGACAGCTTCTCTATCCCCACTCCTGCAGCCTCCCTCCCACACACCCTTTCTACTGGCATGGCACCTGAGCAGCCCTGTGACGCTGGATGTGCCCCGGTCCACAATCCGCAGCACCTCCCCTGTGCGGCGGCCTAGGTGCCAGCGCAGTGAGAGTTCATGCAGGTGGGAGAAGAGGCGCAGCTCCACGCGACGTGACGTGAACTGCTGCACTCGGATCCACAGGAATGTGCGCAGGTTGCTCACAAAGCCTGGGGGAGCCAGGGAAGCCTCAGAAAGGCTTGGGAGCTGAGTGACATCAGCCCTACACCAAAATGCTAAAGGTCTGAGAGCACAGAGGGGTCTGGGGAAGGAATGTTCAAAGGGACATTCCCATGGGATGACTGACGCTAACCAAGGTCAGGACAGTCTCTCATACCTGTACTGCCAGTGCCACCTCCCTGCAGGAACTTGAGGAAGACATAGGTAGTAACAGTCCAGGCCAGGGAGCTCCAATGTGCCTGCTCAGTCAGCAAGTTCACTGTGGAGAAAAAGTCAGGATTCACTTCTGACACCTAGGACTCTCTTAAGGCAAAACTGCCCCAGATATCAGCAACAGCCTTTCTGACTATTCAGCTCCCAATTCTTCCCTACTTCCCTAGGTAAGGGCCACCCCAGTCACCAGGCCAATGAAGAGCCAGCAGGCTGAGTTGTACTCCTTCTCCCCCTCACCAATGTCCCTATAGAAGATGGGGACCAACACGTTGAGTGCTCTGTCCAATCCCATAAGCCCCAGGCAGATGAGCACAACCAGCTGCAGAGCTGGACTCCCCCGAGGCCACAGGTAGCCACTCAGTAGGCGGAGCTTCCTGCCAAGATCCCTCCAAGTAGACTGTGGGTCTGTTGACCGAACCTAGGATGATGATACACACAGGAGAGGGGAGCTCAGAAACCAAAAAAAAGTGCACTAGCCAGGAACCCTCCAGGGAAGAATGTATTGGACCACAGTTCCCAAGAATCCAAGGCCCACAATTGATCCCTGATGGGGTCAGAAAATTATTCGGTCACAACTGAGCTTTCAGAAAGAACTAACTTGTGGGGAAAAGGAATGGTGATAGGGAATACAATTAAAATAAACCCCAGAACTCAGAGAGGCTTGGGATGGTGTTGAGTTGCAGAGCACATGCTTAGTATAAGTTCAGGAGGTCCAGGATTCCATCTCCAGCACCCACCTCTCCCCTCAAAAAAAGTAGTGTCCAGGATTCAGAAATGAGGTGTACCTGGTTCCTTTCTACATCTTGGTCCTCTTCATGAACCTGTAGGGTATAAGACTGGGGACGAAGTCCAGGGGCCCAGAGTCCCAGGACAAACAGCCCTCCAGAGACCAGGTATCGCAGGACCCACAGGCCAAACTGAACCTGCAATGAAACACATGCAGTGGATATGAACAAGGGCCCAAATCGCACTGTATTATTACAAGTAATACCCAGGTTCTCTTCAGGAGTCCAGCATCCAACAGGCTTTAAAAAAAAAACCCACAGTGACTCAGCACAGTCATGCCCCACCAGCTGGCTATCAGCCCTCAGCCGGCGCCAGACACGCCCTTCTTTCTTTCATTAAGAGTCATCCCAAAGCTTGGAGCCAAGAGTTCCAGACACGCAGTACTTCTCAAGCCCAGTGTCAATGCTTTCCTCTTCTCCCATATGGTTCCTCACCTGCTGGCCTAGGTCCGCCCTTGCCCACCACCACTGCGGGCTGTTCCAAGACACCAGGGCCAAATTCTCGGCTGCAAACGCCACGGTCCAGAACAGCAGGAGACCCGGGCTGTGCCTGAACTTGATCCAGACGCCCATTGCCAGACTCTGTCGTGCCTGACTCCGTTCCACCACGAGCAGCCACAGACCTCCAGCGCTGGCCAGGCTCTCCAACACGGAGGCAAGCAATAAGTATCCTGGCAGCGGGGTCCCCCGGGCAGTGCCCGCCCGGCCAGCCAGGACCGCCAGGGGCAGCGCCACCTTAAGTGTGGCCAGAAGCAGCTGCAGCCCGTAGGGAGCGACGAGAGGGCCAGCCCCCCATGACAGCGCGTCTACGCCGGCGGGCCGCTCTCGCCGCTTGCAGGGAAGAGCCAGCACCAAGGCCAGAGTTCCCAGGGCCATCAGTGTCGAGGGTACAAGCGTGAAGAAGAAGCAGGGACTCAAGCCATTCTGCGTCCAGGCCGGACCCACCGGCCCTTCGGCCTCGCAGTAGTTGCCCACAGTCACCATGGCGATATGTGGCTGATGGTCAAGCCTGAGGGCCCTGCGGGACCAGAGAACGGGACTGGCCGCTTAGGGAGGGGCGCGGATGCCGGAGTATCTTGGGTCATGGAGCCACCCAGCGCTAAATTGCGGGGGTCGCGGAGAGGGACACACGTGCACCCTGCCACACCGCCCACTCGCTTCGCGCACGCGCCGCAGTCACGCACTCACGTAAGGCACGCACGCCGCCTCCGCCTGTCCCCCTTACTGACACCCGGGACCCTCCGGCCAAGTGTAGGAGCACTGGAATGACCAACATCCGACTCTCACAGTTCTCCACGGCCGTGGCACCACCTATCAGCACCCCCCCCCCCCGCCTATGTAGGGCTCCTATTGGGTAAATGTCTCCGAAGGGGCGGGGAAAAGGTTCACGCGATTTGCTCAAACTACAGGGGCTGAGCTGACTTGGTTCAGTGCTCAGGGCGGGAAGTCTGACTGCACGTCCGAGAGAAACCTTGGACCTCCACGAACAGTGGGTCGGAACCAATCTTTCCTTTTTGTTTTCTTAATTCCTGGGATCAAATCTAGGGCTTCAAGCGTGTTAAGCCAGACATTGAGCTACAGTCCCAAACCCCTCGGAAACAGCCCTTGTGTTTAACCGGCTGCCTCCTATATCTCAGCTGTGCCATAGGCCCACTTGTTTCCAGATCTCCAGGCATCTGGGGCGAATCACACGCTTCTTACTCCTATTGCTTCCAGGACTCCAGATGCGTGAGACAAGCCACGGACCTGGTCAAAGTCCCTTCTTTATTAAGGGTTATCAAGCTGTACACTATCTGTCCCCACCCCTTTCCACTGTGAGTTCAGGCAGCAGAGTTTACTACCTTCCCACAGCAGCAGACCAGAGCTGGTTGGGGAAGTGGGGCAGAGGGTAGGAGCTGAGTCCCAGCATGCAATGCGGCAGCCCAAAGCCTAGGGCAAGGCTACCACCCCTCCGTCCTCTAGGGGACAGTGGGATGCAGGCCGGAGTTTCTTGCTGGGATGGACAGTTGAGGTCATACTCCAGCCCTGTCAGTCCCATGTGCATGTGGTAGGGGTACAATAAGCAGCAATGGGGGCCCAAGAAGGCTTCAGTCTCTCAGGGGCCCATTTTAAAAGTCGAAGAGGACAGCAAAGAATTTTCATCCTATTTCTGCAATTTAGAAATCTTCCTTCTTAGTGTCAAAAGATAGTGTGAAGGGAAGCTGGGAGCTAGGGTCTTCACCCCTACAAAAAGCAAAAGCCAAACAGAAGGGGAGCAAGCGGCACACACATGCCAGTTATGTGCAGGGAGCAGAAGAGAGGTGAGCTGGCTGCAGCACTGGGCGAGAACTGGGGTTGAGGTAAGGACCACAGCCTGAGCTGCTCATCTATTCCTGGTGGGAAACAGGCTGCAAGGGTTGAGGGGCTAGGTCCAACCTCCCCACTCCACAGTTGGCACAAGTTCTCCCTGCTTGGCAGCTTCTGTGATGGGCAGCCCTCAGGAGACTTGCAGGGGTGGGTGCAAAGGTGGCAGTACTGGGGCTGGGCTGGGGACCAGTTTCTAGCACCACACTCTGAGCCAAGGGAGTCCTGGGGATGAGGCTAGAGTCTTGTGCGCTCCTGGTTCCTAGGCCTCAAATTCTTCTCCTAGGGCTGTGGCAAGCCCAGCGTTGGCACCTCCCATGGCCAGGCACGGACACACAAACACCACACAAATGGAACCAGGCAACACTCAGAGGAGCCCTCCCATGGTGGGCAGATGGGATGGCAGGACAGCGGTGGCCTCCATCCTGGGACATGGGGACCATCTTCAGCCTTGTCTACACCTGTAGAGAGAAAATGATTGGTAGTAGTGATATTCTTCATCTATCTGTTCACTCCATGGGAGCCTAGAGATAAAAGAAAGAAATTTCATTCCTGGGGAGAAAAGTGAAGGAAAAACCAAGCCCTGGACTTCAGAGCAGTTGAGGAAGAAAGGGGAGTATATTTTAGAGGGAAGTGTGCAGTACTTCTGCACTGGATGAGAGGTACCTTCCTTCACCTGGGAAGCTGTCACTCAGCCTGGAAATTCCTACTTCTGGCCGTTGTTCAAGCCCTTACCTTGTGCACCTGCGGGGGGAGCTCGTCCTCTGAGCCCTCCTCAGGCACAGGCTCAGGGTGCCTTGATGCTGGCTGTCCATCCTCAGCCCACCCTCCCAGGGGCAGCCGGGAGAAGTGAGAGGGAGCCCGGGGTACAGTGCCAGGATCTAGAGACAAATAGGAACACAAACAGAAATGAGAAGGCTTTGAAGACTGTTTGCGGTGAGATGGGATGGTCTCTTTGAGTTCTCCTTTCCTCCCCTAAGGAACCACCCTTCTTGGCAGCTTGTTTCCTTCTGTACTCCCCACTGGGATACCTGTGATGCCCCCGTAGCGCCTCTGGAAGCCCCCATGCAGGGCGGTGGTTTCAGGTGCTCCAGGCCGGGGTGTGGCACAGGGATAGCTGGCAGAGCGGGGGATAGGTTGCGTGGCTCGAGCACCCTCTCCGCCCTCTTCAGGGGCACTCTCTCCACTCTCATCACTCTCCCGGCGGTGCCACACATGCCGCTCAGGTTCAGCCTGGGTCTGCTGCTTGTGGAGCTGGAGAAGTTTGTGTGGGGGAGTGGCTTATTAGCTGGGGACAGAAGGATCTGTCTGAAATAGCTGCCTCTACCATGGTATGACTAATTCCCAGTTGGAACTCCTCATCTAGAATTCTTGACCCAGAGCATCTATGGTGTTAGCAGTTTCTGACACAGATCTGATGCTGTTTCTTCTCAGCAAACCCTTGGAAGAATCTATGAGTAAGTTGTCAGGGCCTTCATTTTACCCATTTGATTCAAGAACAAACTGACCAAGCATCTAAGTGCCAAGTCTAACTTGATTCTTCCCTGTTCATGTTAATAAGTTTGTGTATCTTTTCTCCTATTTATCTACTGGTGGCCAGAATATTCCCACAAAACTTCAGTTAGTATTCCTTACAGATTAAAAAAAATTGTTGCCAGGGTAGGTAGCGTGGTGCTGAGGACACAGTAGTGAAAAGAAAAAACCAAACAACCACCCTCCCCCCAAAAATCCCAGAAAAAACTGACAGCCCTTGAGGGGCTTATACATTGGTGGCGATGGTGGCTGGGGGAGGACAGATCATAAACAAATAAAGAAAAATATGGAATGTCATATGATGCCACATGCTATGGAGAAAGAATAGGAAGATTCAGAAGGGTGGGCAAGGGAAGTTTTTACTGAGGGTGGGGTGAAAAAAGTCTCAGGAAGAGGTAACAGCAGAGATAGCAGCAGAACAAGGAAGAAGAAGAGGAGGGAGCATCTGGATATCTCCAGAGTAGACTCTAGGCAGGGGAAACTGTAACCATATGAAGGCCCTGGAGAGTATACTCAGCTGAAGAGGCTATTAGGGGAGATACATATGTATATATATATATGAATGAAGACTACAGAGCAGGTAAGAGGCAGAGAGGGATTGGAACCCAAGTCTTGCTTCTTTGCATCTAAAACCCTCTATTCTGTTTTTCAGCGGACCACACACCTGGTGCATATAGAGGGCATGCAGGCTCATCTCAGTGGATGCGTATTCAGACAGCACCAGGCTCTGCAGCTGTCCTTCCCACACACTGCTCCCGGAGCTGGCTGTCCTGGCATCCACCCTGTCCAGCAAAGACAGCAGCTGTCAACACTTTTGAGACCCACACAAGTTGTTGGGGGCTGCTGCCATGCTGTTCCATCTTGGCTTACTCTACTTACCCAGAGCCCGTCATGGTGCTGGGAGCCCGGCCTGTGGGGGCCTGGCCAGGTTGCAGAGGGGAGAAGGAGCGCAAGGCAGAGGCAACTTCAGCCCTGTGTCTGGAGCCCTGAAGCTCTCTGGGCAGTGGGGGGCCCCGGCAGGAAGAGCCAGCTACCACATTTGCAATAAGGCTCAGGGGCTATGAAAGAAATGGGTGGACAAAATTCTTAGGAGAAGGGAGAGGCCTCCAAGTGGTCCTCTATGATCCAATTGCAAGACTGAACAAGCAGAGGAAGCTTCCACCCCCATGTCCCATCCTGGATGCTCTACTCCTTGAATCCACTGTGCTCAACATCTCCCATTCCCCAGGTACACACCTCAGACTCAGATTGTAAGGATTGGATGGACGTGAAGAGGGCATTTTCAGGAAGCAGACCACCTTGAGCAAGGCCAGCAGCAGCTCCATCCCGCTGAACTTGCTCCTTGAGGAAGCCCAGGAAGGCTGTGCTCTCACGTGGTGGCTGCCAGCCAGGGTTGGTGATGGCAAAGTGCATGAGTGACAACTCTGTCTTCCCATCCTCAGCTTGCTGGTACACTGAGGCCTCTGTCTGCCCTCCAGACAGCCACTGCACAAGGGAAATAAGGTAAGCAGACCTGTCTTCTTACAGGAACCCTTCTAGTACCTTTCCTGCTAGAAGGGAGATCTTTGCCCTGGAGGACTAAGACTGCAATGAATTTTCCTATTTTGTCCAGAGGCCTCAGTGCCCACCTCAGGAATGGCCACATGCCCGTTGCTTGTGTTGTGCTTTTCTCAAAGGAGATTGGTGAATGGTGCAAATTAAGGCTAAAATCTATTCCAGGCTCCTGGTTACCAGAATTGTGTCCCTAATGCAGGGATGCTTTTGTGTGATTTGTTGCCTCAGAAGGGGTGCCTTTTTGCAGTTTGCCCAAAGACATGATGTGCCAGCATCATCCCCGGCCACCTGCCCCACTTTTCTCCCAGTACCTGGGGATGACCATGCTGGCGAACATCCATCTGGGCAAAGGAGCAAGTATCTCCAACACCAACCACTTCCACAGTGAAGTTGCGGAAGAAGTCTATAATCTCCAGGGCCCGAGGGCGCAAGCAGAAGATGAGAATGAGGGGTGTGACAATGGGGCTTAGCAACTCCTCTAGGATGAACACCTAGAAGGGAGAGGACCAAGGTCATAAGAGAGCAGGAGGGAGTCCAGCCCTCACCACCGAGCTACCAGCCAGTCTCTAGCAGGCCCTAACTCCAACTCCACTCACTGCCTTGTACTGGAAGAGCTGGGCAAACTCGTCCCGGGTCTGCGAGCGGTGGGCATTACCCTGCCAGTGGTCAGGCATGTAGTGGATGTGAGCGAGGATCACACGGAGCAGCTGCTCAGGACAGAACACCATGTGCTGGTCTGGGATGAAGGACCTGTAGGATCAGGATCATGGTGAGACATAAGCCTTTCCCAGAATACTAGTCTGCTTGCCCCCACTTGCTGCCCTGGCTCACCTGCACACAGTCACAGTGACCCCCAGGAGTGTGACGGTGGTGAGGACGTGCTCCACAGCTAACACATCTTCGTCGTAGATGGTGAGGGCAATAAGCACAGCCAGGATGGAGCCAGCAAAGAAGGCACCATTCTTGGCCAGCAGTGTCAGCAGAGGTGACAAGAAGCAATTCATGTATTTGGAGGCAGGTTTGTAGCCTCGATTGAGGCGGGACTGCAACTCATGCTCCAGCTCATTGAAGTGGCGGAGGTAGCAGCGGCCATAGAGTGACCAGCAACGTGCCCCCAGGGCTCCTGGCTCCCGCTTCAGTACCTCGGCGTAGCTGAAGAAGGCATAGAGAATCTGCCAGATGAGGATGAGGGG